AGGGGTGTAGCAGAGAAGTAAATACGAGATTTCCGCGCCGTTGAATAACACAATCTACTTAGGTGTCGATTGTATATTCATGTAGGTCGTCGAATATCAGTCATCTTTCGTATTTCTCGATATCCTACGCTCCAGGTCTACGTTGATACAAACTTCAAATCGCGAAAGAGGCGTAGTTGTGCAGTTTGAATCCTTCTTGAAGGATCACGCGGCTCGGCCTTTCGCTCTTACGCTATTAATCATCAATTCGCCTCGACGTAATTGTTTTGATCGTAAGATCTTACATGCGTATGAACTTCATAAATGGGCTTTAGATGGGGGCCAAATACTCTCATTGTCCTTGTTGTATCTCAGGTACAGCTGCGGCACATCTTCTTTAGGACTACCTTCGCTCTTTCGGCTTTCAGCTGATGGACTCTCCTTAATAATCATTGATGCAAATGCGGAGAATTGCTACAAGGTAGCAAAATTGTGCAGTGACATTATACACAGCAAGGGTTTTCGTGTGTTTCGTGAATAGCTTCACATTTTGTATAAGTAGAGTACCATTTCCTTGGCTTTTTTATAATCACCTCACATCTTCGTATTTCTACATACATATCTTCTACACAACACAAGATTATCAAAACGTTTAATGCCCAAACCATTCAAGAACGTCCTTAGATCTTTCACCCATAGCAACGATAAAGCTGTCGTTGAAACTCAAACTTATTCTAGCACTACTATCTCCTCCAGATCTACTTCAGCAGCAACGATGTCTACTATTCCACCACCCCGCGCCCTAGTAACCTCGCACACCGCCTCCGGCACCGCCGTCATTTCCTCTGATTCTCAATTTCCTCTATTTCATCCTCTTGGTCCTTCGGCCCCGGGTTTCACCACCATTCACACTCTTCCTTCTCTCCCTGCCTCTCTAATGACTCCTATCGACCCCAATCCCGAACAATCAATCCCTCGTCCACCCCCAGCTGGTTTGGTAGTTTGCACAACTGATTACCCGCCGCGTTACGTTACCCCCACTCATCGAACCATCACCTGTGACTACATGATTGTCATGAAAGGTGAACTTGTCCTACATGTTGATGAGGGAAAGGAAACCGTTTTGAAGGAGGGCGATATCTGTGTCCAGAGAGGTACAATGCATACTTGGGAAAACAGAACTGATGAATGGTGTCGTAAGTTTGATTTTGCCTGAAATGTTGTAGGTACGAGACTGACTGTGGAATAGGCTGCGTGTTTGTTATGGCCGGTGGCGAAAAGATCGTTATGGCGGATGGAAAGACGTTGGAGCAAAGTTATACTGCACCAAAGCCCAAGAATTAGGCGGATGATCTAGTTGGTGTTTAGGTCAGGATATGCGGTGATGATTGGACGGTTGTATAGTAGAATCGTTTCATAAGAGCATTATCAATGACGATAGAAAGTTCTATCAACGGTGCTAGGGGGGGTAGTTTTGTTTTCTAAAGGTGCGCACTACACATCATCGCAATTGGCACATTCAACTATCAAGCAATATCACTATTTTCTATTTATGGTTTCTTTCTTTTATGCATTTATTTTCATGATGTATCACCATCGTGATAGCGCATAGTTGAGTAAAGATGTTCTTTAATGATATGAGGTGTATCCAGCATCTTGCACACTATGTTGACCTGCCCTACTACTTTTTTTTGAACTCTGGATCGGGTAGTATTGTTACAACTTTGCATGGAGATTAGTATTTTGAATGATATGAATAATTTCTTTCTGTCATCGAATCGTAAGCGCAACATTAAGCAAATGATGCAGATCCACAACATACACTTTCAAGCGAATGTTGGAAGCTAGATTGTAATGATACTGATATTTTGCGGATGTTTCCTTTCGTTATTCTTCATAGAACGCCAGAGTCTTATTGTCAGGACTTTTTCGAGTCGAGTGCACAGCACACCGTTTCACCAATGTTTGGTGGTATCGAAGTCGTGATAAAGGCTTTTGCGAATTAGGTCTTCTAGGATATTTATACATGTCTTGGTTGTGCAAGGCGATGACCTTCTGCAAGGAGTTCTTCTGCGGTGAAGGGCCTTCTTTTGATTCGTTAGCCTGTCGAATCTTTGATCCCTTCGGTGCGCTCCAACTCACTCTTCTTCTCCTTCCTCCTTAACGTCATCCTTCATCTCTTCGTCTTCGTCATCGTCATCATCATCATCATCCTCTTCGTTATCTTCCGCATCTTTATCATCATCATCATCGTCATCATCTGCAGTACTCTCTGTATCTTCCTCGATATCCTTCGTATCCTCTTCCGAACTATTCCTAATCTCTTCATCCGAGCTAGAATCCTCTACAAGAATAGCCTCATTTACGAGGTACTTTTTGAGATTTCTAGACTTCCACGGAGCCGCCATCGATGTCTTGCCACGAGCAACTTCAACTGACAATTTGTGAATTTGCTCAGCAATATGTCCACCACTATTAATAAGTCTCCTAAAATTCGAATCCTTGAACCCCACAAACACGATCACATCCATGATAAACTTCAACATCTGTTTATTTCCCCAATACACCAATCCAATTTCCACCGAGCACCCACGCGCCCTATCAACCTCAAAATTCGTTTGATCCCAACATCGATTCAACGTCGCCGCATCAAAACCAAAATACTTAGTAATAACCAACGAAGGATTATTCTCCGACGCCTTCGCACACAGCGCTCTCATAACATCATTCTGATACCTCGGCGCCCGGAACGCTTCTCCAAACATCCACAAATCCCACAACATCCATCCCCCAATATCGATATTTCCAGTATACAGCCACTTTCCAAAATGATCCATGAGATCGCTTACGGCGGAGCGAAACATCTTAGCTTCGAATTTCGTCTGGGGTTCGCCGAGACAATCGAGGATGCTGAGGGATTGGTGGGGGGCGTGTTTGTCGAGGGATTTGAAGCGGGTGGAGATGGCTTTTAGGATGGTGATGGGCCAGTGAGTGGTGATGGACGTGTGGTTTTTGAAGTAGCTGATGGAGACCATGTTGCCGCGGAGGAGGTCGGAGAGGAACTCGGGAGGGTTTTCTTCGATTAGTTTGGAGAGGACCATTTTTGGTGGGTTGGGAGGGGGTTTGGAAGTTGGAAATAGTTCGAGGATGAGGGTTTGAAGGAAGAATAAGAAAAGAGAAAAGAAACGAGAAGAGAAGAGAAGAAGAAGAAGATCAATCCACAAACCCTTCGCTCAATTACCCCGCTTTGGAAATTAGTAAATGGAGAAGAATTTTCAAAAATTCACTTTGCAAAACCGGGCTATTCACTGCTCGAATTCAGATTGGAGAACTAAACTGAACAGAAACTGATATTTTCGCATGATGTTTATCATGTTGGTTTTCTTTCTCAAGGGTATGGAGAGATGTTTGATTGTTATTTTATGTGTTTCTGAGCTTGTGTTTGTTGTTTGCTTGAGTAAATGTTTTTGTTATGTGTTGTTATTTTTCGTCTTGTATGGATGGTTTATTGTGTCTTTATTGGAATTATTGAAGCTGTAATGATATCAAGTTTATTTCTCAGATGGCCTTCGCCCTGCTCCTTTTTTCCTACTAGTGATCTGGAAGCTTTACATTCCCTCATCCTTTCTTGTTCTTGCAACTAGCTACAATAATCGTTCTTTAGCTATTGATAAATTCAACTTTATCATCTAAAATTCTGCAATTTGTTAATTATCTTTCCTTTCTATGGACTACCTAGTAGTTTTAGGAAAACAGTCAGATATACTGATTTTATACTATTCCTTGAATGAACTATTCTATACTACTCGGTTATTCCACTTCCTATTCCTGTTCTGTTGCTTTGAGATCTCTAATCCTTTCATTTCAATAAATCAAACAGAACACTATATCTATTAATGAACTCTCGCAGTATCAATAATTCAGTTTTGACGTTCTGAAGTCTTTTGATACAATAGTCATTCATTCATATCTATTCATGTTTAGCCATCAAGTCTATTTTCTTCGAAACTATTCAACATAAAAGCTGTTCATGTGCATCTATTCTATACTTTATCTATATAACTAGCATCACACCTCAACACAGAAGTCAAAATCAGTATATAAGGAAAATTGAACATTAAAGACAAGTTAGATAATCTATAGCTTGTAAATCAAACAACTTCACACCCTTCACAAATTTTCAAAGAAAAAATCACACTTAGCGAGAACCCATCCTATGAATCACAATCGTGTTAAATTGAAATGGGATTACACCACCTCTAAACTTCTCAAGCTCCTTAAAGTTCGAATACATTCCTCTCTAATAATTTAACAGAGTAAAATATTATTACTGACAACCATACACCCACTTATTGAACCTCAAGAAGAAGATCACTTAGTGTGGGTTTTTTTTCTTCTTTTTTTCTTCTTTTTTTTCTTCATGAGTTATATACAAAATAAACTTTCCAAGATTATACACACATATGTATAGAGAGTGTTAGTATCTAAACTAGCATACAGATACCAAAGCTTAAAAGCGGTGGGAGCCAGGGATATACAATGAGATGATACATCGTAACTAGTAATTTGAGCTTTTTGAGTAGATGATCCCGAAGCTAAGCTATGGAGAATGCTATGCGGAATGCTAAACGGGACACTAATGAGTTCCGGATTCCATTGGTAAGGAAATAGTATTGTCCATTACAGTTCACAAATACTAAAGATTGTGAAGTCAGTTAATTACATGAGAGATGAAGTTCATGATACTTGTATTGGGGTCTGTATGATCTATAGTCGTTATATATCATACATACATGCTTTGCTCTCAAGCTATATTTTGGAGCTGATATGAAGCTAAGAGTACTGAGATCTGCTAGGGGTATAAAGTTGAGTTGAGGATAGTTCCTGTCACTTCTGAATCTTTCGTGTTACTCTATAAGTCTCAATTACTAATCATAATATCTATCTCGAAATCAACATAGGAATTGAATCATCGTTAAGTTAGATTAGCCTCTGTAGATGGGCTTGTATTTAGATTACATCTATACTAAGCAAATAGTTTTCCATTCGGCGTCTTGAAGAAATAGATACTCATTTGATTCCTCGTTACCCAAATTCATGTACTTAGGGTCCTCTTCTGAAATTAAATTATCATTTTCATCCAATAGAACTTCCCAATCCTCGTGTAGTCCTCCATTTTTGAAGTTTCCCGTATGAGGATCATAGTTTAGGATAACAAGTCCAGCCCGCTCGTACTTTCCGTCTGCTACAGGATGAAGAACGATGATGTTGTAGACACCTTCGTAGTAGTCACCGCTTGGTAGTACCAGGCCCAATTTGTGCAATTCAAAATCATGTTCTCTATCCCAACACACCAGGGTGCCAAGAAATATACCTGGCCTTGCGAGAAATGTTGGAATAATTTTGGGTAACGGGTCACTATGAACTTTACGAAATCGTAGCGGGATAATGAATGAGGTAATATGTAATTCCTTGGGCTGTATTCCGCGATGTAGATTCAACTTACGTTCCCGACAGAAACTATATAAATCAATAGTCCTGTCCTCAAGGGAAATCTGTATCCGAAGAACGCGCTTTCCTGAGGAAGTCACTTTTTCATTCTCATCTGCTGCCAGCTTCGCTGTAGGAACCTGTATTTTCAATGCAGAATCTGTAAACGTGACCGAGCCACCCCAACCTGACCAAGACCAGCTGGGTAGACCATCTCTTCGATGGGCAATAGCTTCATGATCCCACATCAGTTCAAACATTACCAATACCTCTCCCGGATAATGGTGCATCTGTAATGGAACTCCCCAAAGGTGGGAAAATGATTCATGGCAACGCTCTGCAGCTGACTCGTAATGCCTCAGGATGCCAGAAAATGCATTCAGGCTATCACAATCGTGGGATAGATCTCGCCTGCTGTATACCTCTATCCTTGACATGAGATCGCGAGAATGAAGCCGCGAATACCGTTGAGGAGTCAATGACTCGAATTCATCCCCGTTAACCCCGAACGGATAAAAACCAACACCCCAAATCGTCTCCTGTGCCATTTCCTGGTTGCAAAGAAACACTACTTCGCTGTCTGCAAATATCAGTCGCCTTCTGGAGAAGTACCATTCTTGGTAAGTCCACCCCCGCGTAGACCATTTGCTGAGCGTGATTTCTTCCACAACGTTAGAGACTTGAATTAGGTGGGTCTCGCCAATATCTGCGTGGGCTTGATAGCGTGGTACACTGATTCCTGGTAAGCCATCACTAGCACTGTTACCAGACGCTGCGACTATCGTGGCGCGGGCGTTGCTATAAACAAGATCCATCTGGTTAATCATGGACTGCATATGAGGGGAGTTCGGATTTTGGTCGATGCACTGTGGTGAAGCTTCTATTAGTTCTATCGTTCACCGTCATACATGGAGTGCATCTTGCAATAGCTGTAGTGACTCACATATCGATCAACCCATGGGTACCGGTAGCCTAAGGCCTCAGTGACGGTGAAGGCATCTTGTACAACTTGTGGAAACTCTCCTTGGGTACTCTTGCAAGCAGAGTCATCGCCCCAAACATAAGATAGAGCGATTATTCAAAATCTGGAAGAGCCTGGCAAATCCTTTCTGTGGTGACATCAATGACACGCAACCTCGCAACTTCAACCCTTGTATACTGGCACTCTTTATGATCTTTGAGGCATTTGTTTAACATTTGTCTAAGGAAATCAAAGTTTACTCCCAAGGGTTCTAGAGTGCGAATGCCCGCGATCTCATTGTTTTGAATTTGTGAGCTATTATGGAGCGGGTGTATTCATAGTGGCCCTCTCTTCTCTCAGAAACATACCCAAGGGATCGAACTGACAGTTCAGTCCCTCGGGCTCGCTCTTCGGAACCCCACGTCTTAACTTTCAAACATACATGCATCGGTTGGTCACCTAAATCTAGAGACTGATTAAGAGCACGGCTACCAGAGTGAAAATTGACAAGACTTCCAACAAAGCGGCAGACGCGACAACTCGAGTTGAGCAGTTGGTTACGGGATTTCTTCTCATAGGCTCGGACAGGGTCTCTATGACGTCCATTTGGGCAAACTGACAATGATTCTGACAATGATTCTGACAACTTAAATTTTCTCAAGTCTGTAAGATTTGGCCAATCTATCGCGCGACATTCTTGACAGAGGGATTCAAGGCTTGTGTCATGATTGTTATCATTATAGCGTGTTCTAGAGGAAAACTGAGCAACGGCTCTCGGCGCCGAGGATGATTGATCGACAGGCGTACTGTCAGAAGAAGAGATCAAGCAATTTTTAAAGAATTTAGTCATTGTATCTCAATCAACATATCTAAATGTCCGGAAAATAACAGAAAAGTTCATGAAACATTGCGGCTGAATCAAATTGCTACCCCTCTTTATAGTGTCATTGTTGTCGAGCCAGCTGGCGACCGGCTAATTTTCCACGGCCGAATCACCAATCATAAGGCCGAGTATCTTCCTGACCTGTCAGACCCTAGATTGCGTAATCACCAGTATATGATTTTGGGGCGGTTTTAATTAGCATACTCAAGTCCATAGGTTATGAAGAGTATACAGGGAGTGATTAAAATAAACTTTCATCTATTTGAATTCTATACAGCATATCAAATTGCATAGCTACCAGCTTGTCTTTGAGTACAACGATCTGAGCTATCAGATTTAGTAGGTTCGATAACTATCTCACGCAGCCTTGATCGCTAGCTGATAAGTCGTTCAGCTCTTATACGCTCGTTCTCCTATAACCCCAGAAAGCCCCAGTCCAATTGAAGTCCTTGGTCTCATGAATCTAGAAGGTGGGTATTGAAACAGTAGCTTTCAAAGCGTGACTTTTTGTTCGTCATATCATACATCTTTAGAATAGATCATCTATAAAACACTTACTGGTAGATGTAGATACTAGATTATTTAAAACACATATGAATTTCAATGCACTGACCCAGATACTCTAGAGATATCATCCTCATCTCTCATCTAGATAGGTAACAAATCCACAAACATCTCCTCCTCTCTCTCTGAAATCACACTAAAATCATATCAAACTAATAAGCGAGTTTAGTTTCCTTAAATTATGTGAGTGTTTCCCAACATATGAATTTCATTCTCAGAAAGGTTCTTTACTCTTCCTTGACCCGAACAATTTTTCTTTATTTTGTCTAATAATCCCTGATTCTCGACTATATTTTCTAGTAGAGTAACGTTACGAATTCAAGTACTCCCAGACACGATATACTCATACCTATAAAAGACGTTATACACACTCGCCTCAATAAACCCTAAAAAAAACATGTATGAGTGAACATTGCCTCTAGAGTCTAGACGAAAAACTTTTCCTCTTTCCCGTCTCTTTACACGCATATATCCAGGCGTAAAATACAACAACTCCCAATTTTCCAAAATTCGAAGAATCTACCATGTATAACAGGACTAGTCAGTCAACTCCTATATTTGGTTCTCACCTGCCCATTTCCACACCCCATTATCTCTACTCTTACCATCCCCTCAAAACATCCGCTCGATACTCCATGACTTCTCTTCCCCTCTCACAACACCATAACAACTCACCAGCACCTCATCTCTACCTCAAACTCAAACCATTCAGTACACACTTCTCAACACAAAACCACACAACCTCAATAACATCCCTCTTCTCCCCATTCTTCTCCGTCAAGCTTTCAACTTTCAGCCTCCAACCTTCAACCTTCGCCCAAATCTTCCATCACCAAGCCCACAAATTCTTCAACCAATTCCAAGAGTAAAGTACTTCTTTCCACCTCTCAGACTCCAGAGCAGAGCACAGAGCATAGAATACTTTTATTTTCCCATCCATCAACCAATCAATCAAAAACTACCACCACAACTCCCATACTCATACATCTATACATTCACACCAAGATATATGGATCAAAGTAGATCAAAGTGACGAAATACATCTTCTGATTTCTTTTCATCCATCTCCTCTCCTCCTTCAAAAATACCGATTATTCCATCTCTGATAGATGCATTAGATAATTCCTCTATCTATATCTGCATTTATGTCCGAATTCTCCCGCTCCTCCTTCCCAGCCCCAAACCCAAGTCGAGACCAATTCACCTCAGATACCTCAAATATCTCAAATACCTTTGATTAAACACGATGATCGGGAAACCTGAGAAATATATATATATACCTACCTAGAGATTTAGGTCTGCTCAATTTCCTAACCGATCTATGACCGGAATGATATGTGTAGAGTTTCAGATCTTTCTTTTATATCCTTCTTTTCTCACCTCTCACTCCACTCCAATTCAATCCAATTCCTACTCTACCTCCCCCCTCCTCCTTTCACCCTACCCAAACCCAACCCAAGCGAACCCAAGCCCAAGCGAAACCCAACCCGATCAACTCAATAACTAAAACCTACCTACCCCCTATACCACCATTTCAACCATCCCCTTCTCTCCCCTTCCCTCCCCTCCCCCACTTCCCTCTCCACTCTCCAAAGTCCCTATAAAATCCAGCATCTCCCCCCTCTTAATCTATCCAACTATCCACCCAAACTCCAAATAATCTCACCCCATCTCCATTCTCATCCTCATCCTTATTCCCTACCAACATCCATATAACTTACCTACCTACTTCCCTCACACTTCTCACTAACTAATCAACTAATCAGCCAACGAAGTAATCAATCAATCACCCTCCACACCTAACAAATTTCTCACCCTAACCCTATCCCTCATTATTCATCATTCATCATTCATCCATCATCCAACATCCAACATCCAACCTCACCAACCATCATACACACTCCTCACTCCCTCCTCCCCCTTCCCCCTCCTATCCCCATCCCAACTCCCATCCCAACTCCCATCCTAACTCCCATCCTCCATCTCACTACCTTCCCTACCATCCATTTCAACACCCCTTTACTTTCACACCTACACCAGGAATCCTCTGTATATATACATATACATATACACTATATCAACCACCCAACCATCAACCACCCAATTACCCACCTCAAAATATCAGATGACTTTCCCTCTCCTCTCCCTCTCCCTCTCCCTCTCCCTCTCCCTCTCCCTCTCCCTCTCCCTCTCCCTCTCCCTCTCTCCCTCTCCCTCTCCCTCTCCCTCTCCCTCTCCCTCTCCCTCTCCCTCTCCCTCTCCCTCTCCCTCTCCCTCTCCCTCTCCCTCTCCCTCTCCCTCTCCTCTCCCTCTCCCTCTCCCTCTCCCTCTCCCTCTCCCTCTCCTCTCCCTCTCCCTCTCCCTCTCCCTCTCCCTCTCCCTCTCCCTCTCCCTCTCCCCTCCCCCCAAAAAACCAAAGAAACAACCCCCCCCCCCCCCACCAGATTATCATAAATCAACATACAAATACCATGTAAATCCACCCTGCTCCCTCTTTCAAAGGTGCTACATCCGGAGCACAACAGATACATAGATTTCATTCACAGAGGCCAGTTCCCCGGGTGTGCATATCTTTGAGTAATATCAACAATGATAAATTGAATCAAACAAAGAGCTGGTATCAATACCTAACAACCTACCTACTAATCTCTCGGTTAGTAACCTCATTCACTATACACAAACACCTTGCAAACCCTTGACCTAACCATCTTCACCTCATATCATAACTCATGCATAGATGACACACAATATGAATTTCATGAAATCTTTATTATTAGACTTTGAATACACGCCACATAAAACAAGTGCACAAAAATAACTCCCTCGCTGCAGTAAAAACAAAAAGAAGGGAAGCAGTCCGGATACCAAGTACGCATACATCATCCATCCTCACTGCTCACTCTTCAATTTTTCAAGCTTTTCCTACTATCCGGAATAAAAGACCCTAGACAACTAATCATGATGTATAAACCACCCGGATGTATGCAGTCCCCTGATCCATTTGATTCATCATTGAATTGCTGACAACACTCGCTTTTGAGTTTTCATATTTGTAATATCCTTCCCAGTCCAAAGATCATTCCTTTCGTGCTTCACCTACACGTCCAGAGATCTCTCGACAGGTAAACTAATCTTGTATTTGGATCGGCAATTTTCGTTTATGAAGTCTTCTTTTGAGCTTGAGCACCGGCAACATACTTTCCGACGTCGGTAGCATCGTGGAAAGTTCTAGCACCACCCTTAACAGCTTCCCAAACTTGTCTTGCGGCTGGAGGAGTAGATTGAGCACCAACAAGGCTATCGATTCTTGCCTCTACTTGTCTGAATTGACCTTGAACAAATGCACTTTGAGCGAATCTTGAGCGGAGGAATGCAGTGTAGATAACAATCAAAATCCAGGAACCAGATTGGAATGCAATAGCGGAGAGGAAGATACGAGCCCAGAGAATGATTTCAAGAAGAGCAACAAGTCCCATGGATGTATCATAGTATTCCTTGACGAACTTGCCAATGGTATCGGCCATAGCGTTTGGCTTTGGAGCAGCCTTGGGGTCGGTGCCGGCTGGAGCTGGTTGGAGAGTTGGGATGAGGTTGGTACGGGTGTAAGTTGCAACGTGGAAGACAGAGTAAACACCGAATGGGAGCATGGCAAGAGGGTATTGTTTGGAGAAGAGCCATACGAGTGCCATGGCTATCATTTGTTAGATTCTAATCATCAAGGCGAGGAGAAAAAGCACGTACCCAAGTACTGAACATTCTCATCGGCGATAAGAGAGATCAAACCAGCTTGATTTGCTTTTCCAGCTCTGGCGCGAGCACGGAATGCCTTGTAAACCACGATCCCGTAGGTAACAGCGGCGGAGATAAAGGCGGTACGATAAGAAAAGGTAGCCCATCTCGAGTAGTAGTTGAAGGTTATGTATGAAAGACCATATCTGATGATGCAGAAAAGGAGGGAGAGATGTCTATTATTGAGAGTTAGTATCTATCACAGAATCGTATGTCATCATGTTGCGCAGATAGAATCCTGAGCTTTGTTCATGAAGCAGTTTGGAAAACTGCGAGAAAAGACCACATATTATCCAAGCTCCAAAGAGCTGACAGCTCTCTTTGACGCGGGGAAGAAACAATCAGAAATTCGACATACCCTACGAACCAAGCAACTGTAACAATGCCATAGTCAGTATATATCCTTATGCATATTTTGAGACCAGCTGCCACTTACACTGTAATGTTTGCGCGAGTTGTATGAGCCTTTGCTGGAGTGGAAGAGAGGCAGAAGGTGGGGGAGCCATTTTGAAGATGTTGATGTAAGTTTTCTCCTTGTTGAAGGAATCAAGTATCAAGCGTATGACACCTTTATTACGTTGATTGAAGTTGTTCTGTGATGTATGGATTGATGTGTGTAATTGTGGTTGTGATTCTAATTGTGATGTAAAGGTGTTGATGGTTGTGAGGAAAGATTGGGAGATTTTAATGTAGTTTTGGTTAGTAGTTGCAGCTGTAATTGTGTCAACAGGTTTCTTGGTTGATAGGAAGAAGCTACTGGAACATGGCTGAACTAGTTGAAAATCCCTGTACTGCGTCACTTTTATTTGTTCATTTATTCATTCATTCATTCATTCATTCATTCACTTATCTACCAAACAAGTACTTACTTGCTCGATAATCACTCACTACTCAAGCGATTGTGAATAGTTTGCCTGATTGGTTTGATAGAGTTTGATGGATGAGCTCGGATTCTTTACTTCTTTCTACATTCAGTCAAGTCGAGATGAATTGAATTTTTCTTCTTTGTGAAGGGATATAAGAAATCCAATTAAACTATGAGAGATATACGAGTATCAGTCAGTATCTAGGAGTAAAAAGTCAAATGTGAAGAGAGAATTTAGGAATGATTTACATTACATTTACATTTGGCATTTACATTTACATTTACAATAGCATTTATATGCTTGATTATATTTACATTCACTCAAAAACAAACAACTACTCAATTCTCTACCAGTACCTATGTCCCTCATAGGTGCTAGGAAGTTGTTTTCATATTTCCAGTCCCTTTCCTTGATTCCAACTTTCTTTCCATCATACATACCATAGATCAATATCATACCTACATACCTACACATACTCACCATCTAGACTCCATACCCATTACCGACCTACCGACCTACCCACCCAAGAAATCTTCACAATGTGGCTTGGTCAACCATTTGAAACTTGGGTTGCGTTGCGCAAGAAATCGTCATAATCCACCCTTTTCAACCCTTGCCTTGGGCCCCGATTGATCTTCACATGCTATTAATACCTACTCGAGTACATGACATACTACCTACCTTACCCGCAACTTTTCCCTTTCTTTTCCTTCCCTTCCTTGCCTTCAACTCACTTAGAACACGGCTCGCGTGCCACCGACTAAATACTCCCAACGAATCAACGTAAAGTTACTGTTTAATCCAATCATCTTATCGAATTCAATTTCCATGATAACAATAACAATTACAATAACAATCATTACCTACTAGGTACGTATGTATACCTATCTATAATCGTTGTACATGGAAAAATTCAAATTCATCTTCAGGAATTTATTCAAGTTATATAATAGAATTCTATATTCGTTGAATCCCCATCGTCCATTTAGATGTACATCTACCTACTATTGATAATAAGTTGGTATCTTCCCTTTCGCTCCCGAAAACTCCCAAAACCTCCCATGAAGCATCCCTAAGACTCCTATTATGCATTGCTCTTTTGAAGATATCCCCCTTTAACCGAACGCCATACAATATTTTCTTGTAATGATCTTATTTTGTCATTTTCATCATCTTCGCATCCGTTTGTTAAAGTGCCGATAATCTCGTCCATGTCCATGGCCATGTCCGTGTCCATGCCCCCCATGATGTCGTCCATGATGTGGTTCTCTTGGAGTATGATGGGTGGGTATTGGCTCCACCGGCACCGTCTCTTCCACTTCCACTTCATATCCCTCATATTCATCCCGAAAGTATGTATCGACCATGTCTCTCTCGTTCTTGGCTTTAACCACATCCAACATATAACGTACCGTACCATTCTGACCACGAATACCCGTCGGTGGTTTCGAACCTGAACTTACTGATTTGGGGCTCAGGTTTGCTGGTGATGCAATATGTCCATTAAATCGTAAGTCTGCTGGGCTGGCTGGTGTAACAGGAGTATTCGGTGCATGTCGCACGCCATTGTTTCGTGGTGCTTCGTGGTGCTCGGTGTGTCTTGGTAATCTTTTCTCTTCCAGCTCTTGATTGATCTTAATCCGGATACCAATAAACTTCTCGATATTGTGTAAAGGACCAACGATCGACTGCTTCTGATAATGTGTGTAAAGATCTAATAAATCTAACATCGTTTCCACAATTTCTGATCGACTAGTCCACCACTTTTTATAGCTTGGGCCTCTCCAACCCTTTTGCTTCTCACAAATCAATGTCGCTAGTTCAACACAAGCAAAGGACATGGTGGAACAGGTCTGCTTGAGGGGGGCAAATGTTCGGTAGAGATCTAGCATGACTTGATAGGCGACTTCTGCAACATCACGTTGAATTCCACCGTTCTTCACAAGTTTAATGAGGTGTTTTTGCGGGTAACGAACACGAAAGTCGAAGCTAGATGCTTCGAGCATAAGACGTTCAAGGCCAATGACAACCTTAGAAGGAGCCTCAAAGATCTGCTTTAATTAGCAGCTATCCATAATCAGGACGTGGTGAAACATACAGTGTCGTCGGAGCTTAAGTGTTCTGCCGCTGAATGTTTTAAGTTGTGTGCGGCGCAAATGATATCCTTGGACTTCTTAAGGGTATCTTCAATCTTGCAAGCCGTTAAAAGTGCAGCAGCTGCTGCATCTTGGTATTGATATTCAGTATCTTTGTGAACAAGCCGAAATCGATGAAAGTAAGTAGCAGCAGTACAAAAAGTTCGCACTGGTCTTGTAGAAGTTAATAATTTGTGTCTGCGCAAGTGAGGGTGATACTGACAACTGTAAAGCAACTCTAACGTCATTAATCCAAGTCACCCCCTGTAACCTAAACTGATCTTCACGCGTAGGATTTGCCCCAATGGTCGTGAGCTTGGTATTGACATGTTGCTGGAACATATATGGTTTGGCGACTTGAATGAACGATGGGTGAGGACCCGTAGGGTTGACTTGGGTAGGTTCTGGACCAGGCGCCATTGGTGCGGGTGCCATTGCAAAAGAATTGGAAATTGATGAAGTAATATGTGGAACGATAGTTGAGGATTTTCGCGAATAAGTCGACCAAGGGGCCCCTCGCATCTACGTTCGGTTTCCCGTCAGTCTCTGGTAAAGGCTTGCCTCAAATCTTTTGTACAAGAAATGACAAACGGTTGCAGTTATAGCTTTCCAGCTCTCCAAGTTTGACTATGTAAAACTCGGGCGAACTCAAACTCGCGATAATCTGAACCTCTCGCACTGCAACTGGTAACGCGCTCCAATCAATGTCTTCGTAGTCGAACTTCTATATTCAGCTCTCTGTCGCAAATCGATTTTGATGGTAAATTTTCTTTCGGTGCAGTTTTCGTTGGTCGCCGCTGAAATGAGGCTCCCTCAATAATCCAAGATTTCCAGCTCGTTCTTTGGTTTGATCGGAAGGAAGATACGGTGCGAGACTTTGATGCAAAATAATTCAATTAGCTTGCGTACTGATATATTAAGTGATAAATATCAGACGGATTTACTATCTTCCTCTGTACGGTAGAATATCGGTAAAAATGTATCTCAAGGTCTCTACTATAAAGCGGCTTTGTGGGGATGGCCCATCAAGGTCTCAAGTACTAAGCCCCAACTTCAGCTGGAACATCAATAAGGTCATCTTCCTCAGCTGAACAAGCAGATTCTATCTGCGATATATATCATTCCATCACTTTAGCCCACAATATTCAAACAGTTTACAGCTTCTGGTAAATTGTTACACCAGTTAGTATCAAAACCATTATCTTCAGAGCTCCAACCTTTACACCCGCCACCAAAGCTCTCCAACATGGCGCCCATTACCAAAATCATCTCGTTGCTCAGCAGCGCATCACTCATCAACGCTATCGTTATGCCTGAAAGTATCCTTGAATTTCCCGTCGCGCATGATGAACATGCCTCTGTCTACGATAAAAATAGTCCCCTTCCGAGTATTTTCAACCTCACCTTATCCGGAAAAGCTCGCCAAAGCACAAAATCATCCAGCGATGACGATGACACTCCACTACCCTTGATCATCTGGCATGGACTCGGTGACAACTACAAAGCGGATGGTCTTGCGCAAGTTGGAGAATTAGCTGAAGCTATTCATCCTGGAACTTTTGTCTATAATATTCATGTAGATGATGATGCATCTGCAGATAGGACGGCTACTTTCTTTGGAAATCTCACTCGTAAATACACCTTCTAGTTCTCCTAAAAATAAAATACTAACTCTCTTCCCAAGTTCAAATCGAAAAAGTCTGCGAAGACCTCGCCTCCCACCATATCCTCTCTACCGCGCCCGCCGTCGACGCAATCGGATTCTCCCAAGGAGGCCAATTCTTGCGCGGCTACATATCCCGCTGCAATTCTCCACCCATCCGCTCTCTCCTAACCTTCGGTTCCCAACATAACGGCATTTCTTCCTTCCAAGCCTGTGGTCCTACCGATTTCCTCTGCCGGGGTGCTCAAACCCTCTTACGTTCGAATACCTGGTCAACATTTGTCCAATCTCGTCTCGTGCCCGCTCAATACTTCAGAGATCCCGAAAATCTCGAATCCTACCTTGAATTTTCTAATTTCCTCGCCGATATCAATAATGAGCGTGTTCTCAAGAATGAAACATATAAATCAAACATGGAAAAATTGGAACGATTCGTCATGTACGTCTTTGAAGACGATACAACCGTCATTCCTAAGGAGAGTGGATGGTGGGCTGAAGTCAACGGCACGGAAGTTACACCACTGAAAGAAAGAGCCATTTATAAAGAAGATTGGGTAGGCTTAAAGACATTGGATGAAGCCGGAAAATTGGTTTTTGAAACCATTCCAGGAGGTCATATGACATTGGGAGAGGAGATGTTAGAAAAGGCCTTTAAAGAATACTTTGGTCCGGCAGGAAGGAAATTTGGGGAGAAACAAACCGAGATGACCGGTCATGAAGAGGAATTGTAAAGGGGCTCGGTGACGACCCTCTGGGCTAGATGGGATTGATTTGTTATTTTAGGAGAATTTTCAAATTGGTCATGTCATGGAGTGGAAGGATAGCATTTGTAGTTTTAGATA